CTGTAGTCGAACGGTGAGACGGACGTGTAGTTCAGTTTTGGGCACGCGTACGGTGCTGCAGGGATTATATATAGGTGTAGTAGTACCTCTTCGGGCTCTTGGATACCTTTTTCTTGCTACGTGTGCGTGTTCTTTAGATCCTCAGATGGCTCTAGCACTTTCGTGACCACGGGCTGAGAGTCTTTGCTAGATTTTGGCATTTAGCAACTGGCATACGGTTTAATGTGAAGTCAACAACAACAACTTTGTGTAGGATTTTAGTCTTGAGAAGATTTCTCCAACAACGCCTTGTCCAACGAGCTGCACGATTCTTTAGAGGTGATAGTGCCGTGCGCAGATTCGTCCTTGTGCAGGAAGCCTAAGCATACTTCACGGTGAGGTAACTCGCCTCGCCCTTGGAGTCTCGAGCTTGCGACAGGGAGAAGCGTTGTTGTGATGGTGAGATTGGTACGGTAAGGTCGGCGAAGACAACCGAACAATAGGTTTCAACATCATATCAAATCGACCAAAACCGATTTACCGCACCACCACAACGTCTAGCTCAATTACTGATGTTGTTTTGCATGCGTTCACCGTGCTTTTAACTCTACAACGCGTTGTAGTCGCGAGAAGACTGCCCCGCTCCGGTGGGCGAAAGTCGGCGAAAAAAGTAGTCTCAGGGCGACCGACCGCAGACGGATGTACCGAAGATAAACGTCTTGATTTGAAAGCGCAACAATGATTGAACTCTCGCATCCCAGGGCTTGGATTAGACTAGTTGAAGTTAAGTTTAATATGTACTATTATTTGCCGCAGTGCGCGAGTTGAGCCTGAGCTAAAAATCCCTTGCTCTATTGATGTGTGATGACGTTGAATTTTTATGTGTGATGAGACTGCGGGATGATCCGTGATCTCGTCTAATGTACGCAGCAGTTGGCGGACAAAGGACATACTCCGCACGCACCACATCTCAGCTGTGATGGAGTAGCAGGAATCATGCACCGACGAGTACACATATCACAGCTTCACACGAGCACACGGTATGCCTATGCACCATCGCTGAAGTACACCACCCGTAGGCAAATGATGTAGCTTGCAGGACTTAGCTAGTTACCCGCTAGATACACATTCCGCGTCAACCACAATTAGCAGAAGAAGTAATGTTTCTCGTGGGCCAATCACAGAGCGCTTCTTCACAGACCCGCGCGAAGCGGTCAGAGGACCGACGCCGTTTGGAGCGGATTCGATGGCGCGGGCAGCTCTGCCGGCGCTCGGTGCCCAGACCCCGCGACGGCCGGATATTGCGGAGGGAGGGCCTCCCGCAGGCTCAGCGAAGAGGGAGGCCGAATTGCGCCCGCTGCGGTGACAGCTGCGCTCTTGAGCTATCGTGTCGATTTGAGAGTAGGCCTGATTCCGCCGCTTCGCCGTGACGAGCTGGTTCAGAATCGACGACGATGTGCAAGTACACGTTCGCTTTTTGTTTTTTTCCATCACTCTGCGACCGTTCTCTCCTACACACCACTTTGAGGGCCGACCCGCTTCCTTTCATACCCTTCACCCATGCCCTTCCATTGGCGGCGACCACCACCGCCAGCACTTCTGGAACCTCCACCAAAAAGCGCACCTCGAAGGGGAAAAGGGGACAGGCAAAGCCGGGTCTTTCCACGTGAGTACCTTCAACAAGTCTCCCGTCCTTCGCCCTATTTTGTCCTACTTTCCTCACCTCTATTTTCGCAGCATAGACATGAATTGCAGGCAACCGGGGGAGGACGAATTCTCGAATTTTCCCTTCTTGTAACAAAATCCTTGGGATTCTTTCGAGAACCTTCTTGCGCCGCAATGACGCTGTGTTGGGGTTGCTCATGAATAGCCGAGGTGCCCAGAAAGGCCAGAATCGCCGCGCATGCATGAAACTTCCCACAGAGTGATCGACTGCTGAGTGAGTGGCTTCGAAAGAGACAACCCTCGCGCCGGTATTGAATCAGAGACATGTGAGGACTACCACGACATACAGTCCTCCGCTACTGTTGTGCTTTCGAGGTAATAGCTACTACAGTCGGGGATGGGTTGGCCCCCCGCCCCCCGATGGGGCAGGCGGTCAGTCTGCGATGGAAGTCTGCCGGTCTTTTGATGACGAGACGTCGAGCATGAAGCAGATGAGCTTATGTCACATAGCGGTCCAACCTCGGCATGAGCATCGAGATGGTCGACCCTTGCGCCCATCAATGTGAAGCTGAAGACTCTTTGATGAGATGGTGCACACGAGAATGAAAAATGGGCGATGCGATCCCTATTTCCCTGCTAGGGTCGTAGGGGGGCGATTCAACACGTACCTGGCGTCATTTTTGGTCTTCAGTCTGCGGCATAGTCCTGAGGGAATTGCGAAATCGAAGAAACAATCACAGGGTATGCAGGACGAAGCAGAAGGGAAAGAGCGCTTTTCTCAAAATCTGCCCGAAGACATGAAATATCAAAACACATGCAGGATGAGATGGCGGTAACGCGCCTGCACTTCTGATCTCACTCTACCCTTTGCCCTCAGCGATTTAGCTACCGGTATTCTAGCAATTCGTTCTGGTGACCTTATCCGCAAGGAAGGGGGCTGCTCGTGATCCTTAGGGGTCTCTACCCAGGAATGCATCTGGGTACACGCTGGGCGCGGGAAGAGGGAAGACGATAACATCCTTTGTGTGTGCGAATTTGATGTGCACCTCATCTCCCTGGTGTTGCACTCGACAGGTAGCGCCAGCGCTGAAGACCCTGGCAGTCAAAGACTTCATGCTGACCAAAACATTTATCTTAATCCTTTTGGGCCTACACGTTGGTACCATTTCGTCGTCATTCTTATTTTCCCACGGCAGAAAAACAAAGATGCAAAAGTGCCGACGAAGAGTCAACGTGTACTTCTGTAGACGCAACAGCTATCTCCACCCGTAGGCCATGCGGTCAGCCCGTGAGCCGGTGGTGGCTACAGAAAGAGTCATTAGGGTTGATGGGGGATCACCCTGCGGCCGGTAGGGCAGGTAGCCTTGTAGACGTTGAAATGACAAGTAGTCCAGCTGCATCAACTACTCTATTTTCAGCATATTCAAAAATTAGTGGAAATGGTAAGTGAGAGGGCTTGCAGGCTCATAGCTGGCACTTGGTACCTCTCTGTACTTCTCTGTTCCCTTCTGATGTAAGCCCTGGCGACTCAATAGAGCGCGGATACTGATGTCAGTGGGCATCTCAGAGGATGGCGGGTGCGTTTGTAAGACCTCTTGGCTCACTGCAAGCAGCGCCAAGGCAACGATCGACAAGCGAAAGACTCGAATGCATGGATGGATCATGTTTGTGATGGTGTCGTGTTGAATTTTATTCAATCTGACGGAAAGTCTCCGTTGCCCCCACCCGCATAGCCTGCACGGCCAACCATGCCGCTGCAGGGCAGGAGAAACAGCATCTGCATTATGCACAGAGCGTCGTGCCTGGCTTCTGGTGCGCTAGGTTGTCCCTCAGCTGCGTACCTTGCGCTCTCCCTCGTTCATTTGTTTCTCTTCTCTCTGACCCTCTCCTCTGTCCCCGGCATTTTCCATAAGGATGGGCAGGTGACTGTATCTGCAAGGAAAGACTCCGGCAGGGATGTACTATGTAAAATAGTGCGTAACCACCGTAGTCATTATGATAGACCATGGACCTGACTGAGCTCAACCGACACCAAGAGCTGGAACTCGTTTCAAAATATCCACAATTTTGCACACCGTTTCCGATGGGTTTTCTCGCGTGTCCCGCCAAATGAACGCGACAACTCTAGAATTTCACACCATCGGAAAACGCATGGCAGATCCTTGTTGATGAGTTCCCGCCTGTCCCTGCAATTTCTGTTCACCCTCGATGCGTCCGTTGGTGCCACCCAGGTTTGCACCGGACAAGGTTGTTGTCAACGCCGCCTGGGGGCCGGGGGTGCCTCGTTTCTTTGAAGCATGCTACGACCAGGAAAAATGCGATTCTGGCTAGCGGCAGCAGCCGCATGCTATGCCCTCGGCGTGGTGGTGGCGGTCGTGCGGGCTTGGAGGGCTGGGGGGGGGAAGAGTATCTACCCTGGTCGAGCCTCGCGTGACAAGCTGCTGGCCGTTGTAGTGCCGGTCTACGATGGCGACCAGGACGATGCGATGGGAGCCCTGTCCAAGTGGCCAGAGACCTGTCACGATAACACGCTGTATGGTATGGACCTGGTGATCTACAAGGCCGAAGATCTTGCGGACGCCGACCACCTACCTCAGGTCCCTCATCAGGCATCCAGATGCTTCCGGCGAACAAAGACTATTGACGCAAGGCTTCTTCCAGAGGTACGCCCGTCTCCTTCATGTGTGCTATACATACAGCGTCCGAGGCCAAATTCGACGCTAGTCGTGGGGCTCTTGACGTTGAATATCCCCTCGACTGCGAAATAACGACCTGGACATTTTGAATTTCTTCTACAAAGGGCCCGCCTGATATTTCGTTTGGAGAGGGAAACGTCGGGGTTGTGGTGGTCCAGAATGTCTACGCAGATCGCAGATGCTTCATTTTCTAGAGGGCTCGGGTCGTGCTCGTCAAATCTCCCGCGACAGGCCGCAGACACTCTAGGATCCCGATGGCTACGACCGGATGATTGGATTAATGAAATACTGTCGACGAGTGAAGACCGCCAGGTTCATTCCATGGAACATTCCGAACGCTTGTACAGTGCGGTCCGTACATTAGAGACGGCGAAATCGGGTCGAGGCCTGACTTTCGCATTTCTTCACAACCATCGTGTACAGGCAACAAATGCAACGCTGCTGAATTGTATTGATTTTTCTCACATGGCGTAGGATCCTCGGCTGGGCTGTACTTCGTGGCCCATTTTTCATTTTTTCGCCGACACATGTTGATTCTTTGTTGACAATGTATTGCTCATCTGCTCGCTTGCACTGCTGTGCTGATGATGATAGCCTTTGAGGCTGGAGGGGGCATTGAAAACGCCTGCCCTGTTCTCCTTCAGAACACCTCGCAGTCAAGGCGTGTCGATAGATCCAACGTTTCACTCCCTCATACTTCCACCCTACTCTTGCCGTGGAAATATTGCATGGCATGCACCCTTTTTGCGGCAGGAGAACGTGTACCCGACAGGGGCTTCAGTAATGTTCTACAAGATGTACCTCGACCCCGTTGTGGCGGGAGCTCTTGAAGAATACGATGCATTGGCCATCATTGAGTGGGATGTGTTGGTGGCTCATCCTACAAGTTTTTCGAAGCTATACGACGCCGCCTTTTCCTCTGAGCCGTTCTGGATGAAGGGGAGCACCCTAGCTGGCACTGAGTTTCATTCGGCCGCACGAGTACCGGACAAGTGGCACGTTCTTGGACACCTCAACGGCAACGCCTTATGTGAGCGATCGGGGGTCCACCTCGACCGATGACAAGCACGGATATGTGCGAAATTGACAAAACGGTCGATCGAGTGCTTCTTGGGCACCTACTCAACTCTGAGAGTATTGTACCTGGTCATTAGCTTGTACGCGACCCGCTGCATCCGTCTTGATCGGTCTTTGTTTGGAAGATGTGTTCTCTTCCTGTATCTATGTGCACCACGTCAACAACCCACTATTTATCCCAGGTTACGCGATTATTCTGAACGTTTCCGTCGTTGTTGAGGCTGATGTATCCATCTGTCTGTCCGGACGGCGCCCTTCAACGTGCTTCTACAGACAACAACACCGACCAAGCGTTCACCCAGTTCGTAAACTTCACTTTCGCCAAGTGGGATCTCTCCTATTCGTAAGTTTTCCCGGTTGACCGCTCCGATGAACACCGTCGAGATCCCACGAGGAATCCACCATGCTCATGCTTGTGGTCGTGTTCACTTGCACTGATTATGGATGTGGAAGGTGTGGTGTAACTGTTCCGGGTGAAGATGATGAGTGGGAGTGACAAGATAGGACAAAGAGGGAGACGGAGAGGAAGAGAGAGAGAGGGGAAGGGAGGTAGAGAGACAGGAAAACAGGCAAGCAGGCAGGCAGATAGACCGACACATCAACAGGCCAAGAGATAGAGAAATGATATTGAGCACATGGACCCGTGGCAGTGGTGTTCATCATGGGTGCGGACGCGCATCTCGTGACAGACAACGATGATGGTCACACATATGTATGTTTTGCACGTGCCCGTGTTTCACAAATTGTCAGGTATGATGTTGCGCTGTGGGCCACGCTGTCGGATTTCCCCTACAGCTGGATGCTTTGGCAGCGATACTCTTCACTCTTCGTCCCAACGAAGCTGGTATGGGCCTTATCGTTGTATGCAAGTGCTGTTGGTGCTTTTTTCGCAACGGGCTCTCGGGTATCCGATTGACAAACAGGCACTTTCGATAGAGATCAAATTTCAACCCGTTGCGAAATGGAAGAACGAGGAGATGGCCACAGGCCCTGAAGGCTTGTTGCGTCCGACGCCTTAGTTCTCATCCTGCACCCTCGCTGCTCTTGTAGAATAGCTTAGGGACAAGCAGTTGACATGAAGCCAATGTTGGAGGGTTACGCGGAATAGGCCCGGTTCCTCGTTGAAGCTTGGATCGTAGTGCTTGCTTCTCAATGTCGTGGCAGGGATATTTCAGGATTCTACGGAGGCTTGATGCCGCGCGGATCATGCCTTGTGGGACAAGTCTTCCTCGCGCGCCTCAGAAAACTTGTCGAGGAAATTCAAAAGGCGAATATGCAAGTGTCGATCCCGAGAGCGACCTCAAAATGTATCAGAGTGCTGGTTGTAAGCTACCTGTGAAGCGTAGACTACCACCAGAACAACTTGACGAAACGGGAACTAGGCGTTACACTGCAGAGCTTTCCCTTGGTAATCCACCGAACCTCTGCTCGTTTCGACAGATAACGAACGTTGGACACTTCGACGTCAGCGACCAGCATGTGGCACAGGCCGTTGCACAGGAGACGCTGTTCATCCACGGCAGCTCTCAAAGTGAAGGGAGTCTCGCGCATTCCATCAACGACTTCGGACGTCCAATGGGAGCACTTCCCATCGATGCCAATAGCCTTGACTGTACCAGCGCTTGTGGGTCGGCACTTTCGGGCAAGATCGGGACTGGCGTATCAACCTTTTGTGACGAAAGTTGCGCCACTGCTTGGTCGCCGGCAGGACCGCGCTTGGGCGGTCACGATTGCGGTGCGGGTGACCCATTGCAGTTCGGGGGTACCTGCAGGTTGTGCTACACAGATGAGGAGCTAGCCTTGGTCGCAGACCGCAAGCTGGCGTCGTCGTCGGCGAATCCCTCGAAACCAGATGCGCATGTGGTGATGTGCGACACGACGCAGCCGCCCCCGGCTTCGAGCTGCACAACTGCATGCCAGGACGCCTCCGATACGGTGAGACTCTTCCTTCCATTGGTGAGCCTGGGGTAGACACTGGATACGAATCCTCACTGTGGCGGTGGTTATCCGGGCCGCGAACGTGCACGGGAGGGTTTAGGGTCCCACCCGGAGGCAGCTGACCTCCTCGTCGAAGTCGAGGAGGCTCGTGAAGGGTTTCAATCATCGTAGCTTCACGCCTTGCCCAATTTCTTTCAACCGCTTCCCGCCTTTATGTGTTACGAGGAGGTTGTGAAGAGCAAGAACCATAATTGCTTAACATAAGTCGAATCGGAACCCATTTGGTACGCTAATTTGCCTGGACGGCTTTCCAGCATTCCACCAGCCCCGTCGGCGGGAACAAGTACAAGCTGGTTCACGCAAGACCCAAAATTTGTCCCCCCACTGATAATGGACGCAATTACTCGCCAGTCAATACACATTTACACCATCGTGACCCCCCCTCTTATTCTAAGACGGTGACATAGCTGGAATTTTCGAGGACACCATTCTACGGTGGTTAGGCGCACTAACGTGTCTTGGCCAATCAGCGGCCTTCACGCTGTTCATGAATCAACAACTGAAAATACCAATGCAACACGAACCTTCTTCGGCCGGAGTTCAACCTCAAATGACCTTCGAGCTCTCGGGAATCAAAATAAAAAAAAGAAAACGGCCACCGTTGGTGCGAGTTACGTCCAAAAAGGTGGGATTCCGGTGTTGTGGCCCTTTGGCGTCGTCAGATGGCCGCCGTTTGTACGGAGCAACCGCCCAGAAAGCGTCGAAACGGTTTCCGTCGAACATATCTGAGGAAAGATTGGATCGTCCCGAAATTTGGCAGCTTGACAGGTATTGATGCTACGAATCCGAAAAATTATTCTTGAACACTATTGACGAAGTTTTCCCGCTCCTACCGGCTTATCGGGGCCTAACGGATAGGACCCCCGGAAGCCGGTATTTATGTCTCAAAAAATATAATCGACTTCGGTCGACTCCGGTGTAGGGTGTTGAAGGATTGTACAAAGTTTCGTTGCCCAAGGGGCGACACTGAGTTTGAGCGATCGATTCAAGCGTAAAGTTGTGCCCAAAAAGCTCATTCAATTCTAAATCCAAGTAAATAACGGGTTCACAGAGGAAATTTCAGGTTCTTGTTACGAAAAGAAAATCCTTCGTTCGGGTTTTTGGAGATAGGTCACCAAATTTTGCACACTTGTCCGCAGATCGATATCAAACTTTTGACGAATGGGGTTTTTGTATCGTTTTTTTTTTATTCGTCGAGTATTCAAGGTCCAGCGCAGTCTTTCTGTCCCAGGAACGTGCGGGACCCCGATTATTCGGCGAATAAAACAAAATCGAAAAGCCCCACCCATGAAAAGTTTGGTATCGACCCTGCGGACACGTGTGCAATATTTGGTGATCTTTCTCCAAAAGAAGCGATTGAAGGATTTGCGGGGAAAAAACTTTGTTTTTCTTGCGTGAACCAGCTTTTATTGAAGTCGTCAACCTCGTACAAAACCCATCAGCAGCAAGATCGGTGGTAGGCTCACACGAACTGTGCACTCGAATCAGGAGCACGTCCGCGTAGGGACCGCAACACTTCTCGAGTTGTTGTCTTGCTTGCTTGTCGTATGGGGTCGGTAGATAACACCGGTAGATAAGGAGCAGAGGCGCCAAGAGTATAAAGAAACTGGTTCAGAGAGAGAGGCAGAGAGAGAGAGAGAGAGAGAGAGAGAGAGAGAGAGAGAGA